TAGTATATTCCAGTCCTCGTGTCACTTGCGCCTCCTCTTCGTCAACAGCGAGGCCAAGTCCTGCTCCACCTTCGCACGTCGCCGGATCTCCTCCAGTTGCTCCCGAAAGACCTCAATGAAATCGGCGTCCAGTCTCTGTCGCTCAATGAAGGGGTTTCTGTGGACGTTTTCAATGATGGAAGTGAGCATCTCCACCCCGTCCGGGGTCTGCCCCTCGCTTGCGACGAAGAGCGTCATGAGGTAGGCGTTGAGGGCCGCCTTGCTGAAGAAGAGGTAGTCCGTCTTTGCACCAAGCAGGACCCGAGTGGCGGCGTACAGAATGAGAAGCTTCTTGTGCGGATCATCGTTAAAATAATCATGCATGCGCTTCGTCAAGATACCGAACACGTGAGAAGAATTGAGAGGCGTGTAGAGAAAAATGGTGTCGTCGAGCCTCTTCTCGCTCGGCTCATCGACGCATCCGTCAACGAGGTCGCAAATGGCCTGAATAACACTCGGGCTCAATGCTTTTTCTGCCTCCCCGCAGTTGTTGTAGGTGGCGCCAAGAAGCGATTGTAGTCGAGCGTCCAGCGTCATCTCTGGCGTGGGACGCTCCCGCGTGAAAAAGGTCGGTGGCGGCGGGGCCGCCTGTGACCCCACCATGACCCCCATGGCGGGCAGCGACACCATCGCCCCGGCTTCCGCCGCGGGGACCCCTGGGCCCGCCACAAGTGCCCCGGTGGCACCGCTAAGCCCATGCAACGGAGGCGCCATCGCGTTTGCGTCGCCAGCGTCATCATGGTGACCCAGCGGGGCCGGCTTCCCGCGTCGCATTCTATCCGCCATCGTCATGGAATGGCTGCTCTTGCCGAAGCTAATGCGCAGCGGGGCACCCTTCAGGAGGGCATTGTTCAATGCAACGCGGGCCACACGTGCGTGCTCGATACTATCAAAATGTCCAAAGGCAATACCGCTAGACTGAATAAATTTAGAGTTAATAAAACCCTCAAAGGGTTCAAATAAATCTTCAATGTCTCCTTCCGTCACATCAGAAGCTAACTGTCCAAGGTACACCACATTAGTGGGGGTTTCATTAAGTGGAATACCGTCTGGAGTCAAACCCGCATCAGCAGGAGCCGGGTTACGCTGCGCCCGACCATAGTTTAATACCACCCGTGCTCCACCAATAGGCTGGTCTCGCATTAAGTCCAACGCCTGTGTGCATTCCTCAATGGTTTCAAAATGAATAAACGCCATATTCCTACTATCCAAACGTGAAATGGTTTTGATGTTGCCAAACACCTTGAAGTTCTCATTTAACTCTTCGTTAGAGACAGTCTGAGGCAAATCACCCAACCACAAAACATTGGTGGGTTCCATTCGCTCCTCGTCACGGCGGGGTCGTCGACGCCTGTCCTCATTATCGTGTCGATCATCTTCGCGTCCTCGGCGAGAGGGCCTTTGACTGTTGCTTTCTCTGGGCATCTCCAACTCCTCCTGTGTGTACTCAAACATTTTACCATAGTTAAAACGTGCTCGTCCCAGAGAGCCTCGTGCACTGAGCGCCTCCACAGCGTTCCGAGCTTCCTCCACATAACGGAAGTGTACAAAACAATAACTCTTATCTGGCACCCTCGCAACACGTATGACCCTTCCAAATTCCGAAAATACACGTCGCAAGGTATCTTCGTTATGCTCGTGTAAATCCAGGTTTCCCACCCAGACGGTGTTGGTTGGCTCCCGCAGTTCGTCGTCTCGTCGGCCTCTGTGAGAGTGTCCGCCGCGATGATCTCCAACACCGTGCCCCATAGCACCTCCATACGGCCCCTGGGGGTAGGAAGATGGCGGATATGCATGCGGATCAGCACCGGGCGGCATCATCGGGCGGCGGTCGTCTCTTGGTGCATACATCTCATTTGGGTTGCGCACAACACCCGGTGGCATCATGTGTTGCTGAGGGTGGCTCTGAAAGCCTTGCTCCACGTCTCCGCGCGGTCCAGGAATCAGGTGGGCAGGTGGCTGTGGATAACGACCAGGCGGCATGGCATAGCCGACGGGTGGCATCGGCGCCGGCGGAGCGCCACCACCCCCCGTTTGCAGTCCCGGCGCCGGCGGTCCCCCCACGCGCAGGTTGGGGGGCATGGAGACCATTCCGGGCGGCATAGGCGGCGCAGACGGTGGGGTCATGCCCGGCGGTATTTTAAAGCCGGGCGGCAGCGGCGGCATACCGGGTGGCCGTGGGATAAAACCCCCGGGCTTAGGCAGTGGCCCACTCATCCCCGCAGCACCTTGAGAAGAACAACAACAAGAAAAGAATCCTGAAGAAGCTGCGCCATTTTTAAAAACCAACCAAGAGAAACGTGGAACATGCGCAGAGAGAAGAAGTGTGGGTAAATGGGAGAAACAAAAAGAGAGAGAATAATAAAAAAAAAAGAATCAACATTAAACACTAGTGCCCAGAAGGTTCAAAGAATGACAAGTATAAAGCACCTCATTTTGCCTTCGTCCAAATTGAAAGAAAAAACAAGGAACGAAAAAAGGAGTGAAGGAACAAGTGTAGAATTGAACTGCCTCTTTGCCACTTGTCCACCCTGGCAACAAGACAACCATGATAACAGCAAAAAATAGCTTGTAAGTGTCTGAAACACAAATACGATATACGCGGCTACCCAGAATATATATATATATATTATTTATCTTCCCTTCTTCTGGCCTGCTTTCACGCATCCCTCTCGTTGTGTTGTTTTTATCCTCGCTCCGCAGAGGCTATGTCTCCGTCACTCCTTTTCAAGACGAAAACCGCATCATGAAGGACGGCGTACTCCACTCTCAAGTTGCCTTGACAGAAGTAGGGCAGCTTACACCAGCGCTCTATCTTAAAACCGCAGGGAATAAAGACATTCTCCACAAGTCGCTGGAGGGAATCCTCGAAGCTGGCGCCTCGGCAACATTCGCCTCCCTCCATTGGCAGCTTCTCCACAGGTCTTCGTTGTCTGCTTCCGGCCTCAACGAAGGGGCACCACGGCAAAACAACCGCAATAAGAAGTCTGCCATCAGGCAACAGTGAGTCACGCATCGAGTGAAGCAACTCAAGTGGCTTATCAGCGCGATCCAACACATTTAGACATGCAATCACGTCGTAGTACCGCCGTGATCCATCCTTGTTCTTGAACGGGTCTTGGTAAGGTAGCACCTCGTAGCCACGCCACCAGAGACGCCATCGCATGGGGATCGAGTATTCTGTGGCCGTCACGTGGTGGAAGAGTGGCTGCAGCCGTGAGGTGACGCCGCCATCACCGGCGCCGATGTCCAAAAGTGTCTCGAACGGCGATTTCGTTGGAATCTGTTGGCCCTCCTTCGTGCCCAAGAGTAGCTGCGCAGCCTGTGCTGTGGACATGACAAACATCCCACCGCGGTTCATTATCCCGTTGGCCGTTGTGTGGGAAACAAAACTGCGTAACATGCCGCAGATTAAGAGTTTAGTGACATTCACATCGGCTGCAAGCTTCAGCCACTCGGCCGTCTCCTCGTCCATGCGCATGCTCACATACTTTGATACTATGTGCTGTGGCAGACGCACAAGCTGCGGTGCGTAGCTGTAGGCAGGTCGCTTCCTGCTTCCACTCCAGTAGACTGACAGATCATTCATGACGTTTGCTGATGTCATTTGTCCTTTTCTTTTTCGTTTCCTCGGTCGAGAGAGAGAACTGGAGCATGCATTTTTTTTTCGTGCGGAGGGGAGAGAGGAGGGCGGCAGCAGCGCGGAAAGATAAAACGAGACTCAAAGACAGCGGCGAAACAAAGAAGCGCCCATGTCACAAGTGCACACGACAGACAACGCAGGGGGAGAGAGAGAAGAAAAAAAAAACCAAGCAAACAAAACAAATGACACTTATACACGCAAGGAGTCGAGCAGCAGCAACAATAGAAACTAGGCCCGACGCAGCAGCAACCGTAACCACGCGAGAGCAGACCAACAATAACAAAAGAAGGAGCATAAGACACATCCGTCCCGCAGCACCCGCATCAGCGGAGCCACACGCCTTTGATGGCCGCAAGAGATGCAACAAGGCAGGTCAGACCAATGAAACAAGAAACGTGCTTGGAAAAGTTACCAAGGCAGCTGCACCCTTCACACATCAGGAACTAGCCTCTCAGCAAACAAGCAAAACGGGGGAGGGGGGGGGGGAAAGCGCTCTTAATTGTAACAGCAGTGGGATAGAGTAACTCCAAAAGAATACAAAAAAAAAGAGGGGGAGGGAGGAATGCTCCGCAGGAGATGTTCTCAAATTGTTCATGGAAATAACTGGACTCGCCACAATAGAAAGGTGGCGACAACGGAACACACAGAGAAATAAGGAGAACTAGAGGCATCTAAGGGTGCAAACACAGGCCGCTATACACAGATATACATGTATATCCAACAAGGTTCTCCGAAAGGATGATGAGGGAACGGGAGTACGATTGAAGTTACAACCACTTCCCCATAGGATCAGTTGCGGCTGAAACAAAACGTCAAAATAAAGAAGAAAAAATTCATGGGTAAAACAGATATGTCTACATCGGTCCACGTAGGGAAGGGGGAATATGTAGAAAGATCCGTGAAGAGCAATAAAAAAGAGGGGGTAGAAAAAGAAATACAGAGAGTCACGCCCGGAATGCTCGTATGGGAGAAATCAATTGGTTTGCCCATGTCGCGCCTCCCATTTTTTTCCCACTCATGTCTCTAATAGCCCTATTTATTTATGGATACATTTTTTTCTTTGGTTGTTTCCGCTCAACTAGCACAACCTCTTGTATCCTTCCCCCTGTCTCCTCACTTCTTATCATCCTCCAGAAATAACCGACACGGTCGCAGAGGCAGTGACAGCCATCTTGCCGTCCATGACCCAAATATATATAAAAGACTCATGAAAAAGGACTTGTACTTCCATACGGATCCCGTCCACATTATTTTTACTTCTCGTGGACATAAAACCATCCCTCTGTGCAACCTATCCTCTCACACACACGCATACATTCACATGTGGCTCGCACTCACACGTCTCCACACATGTTGCACACGTACAACTATATATATATATATATATATATTACATACATTGCCTCAACACTTTTATCTTCTCCCATATTCGTCACCTAACCCCTTCCCTCCCCTCCTCTCCCTCTTTTTTTTTTTCTACTTCCTGTTATTAATATACTTACTAGTTTGGTCCTTGAGTAAAGAAAGGGTTTTAAGCTTTCTTCCCACCACCTGCTTACTATCTAGGGTTTAAAGTATTGCGGAGGCTCCACCCGTGGAACAGCAGAACGCGGGGAGACAACGACGTCGGTGATCATCACTGCACCACCATCACGCATCATTCTCCCTCAACGCGCCCCATGAAAGTAAAATTTAAAAAAAACCTCTGCTGTGCCGCATCCATTGGGACTTTTGTCGAGAAACAAGTCTGCCCTCCTTCTTCACTTCTCATCGATTTATTTTTGTCCCTCGCCCCACGCACGTGCCACCATCATTCACACCCTCTTCTCGCTCCACAGTTGCTGCCTACACCTCCTCGTTTGGCCAAAAAAAAAAGGTAAAAACCGCCGCATAAGTTAATCGTTTTGTTGTTGGTGGTGGTGGGTGCCGTTGTGGCTACCAAAGGCTTGGAGGAAGAGGCAAGTTTCTCGCCGCTCCACTAACTTCCTCACCGCCAAGAACGAGTATCCATCGAAGATATATCTGACGCAAGGAGCGATAAAGCGACGGCAAAAAAAAAACTGCAAAATAACAAGAATATGTATGTGTCAATGAAAGTCACGCTCTCATGAGTGAAATGATGTCTGCCATTATTTACGGCACCGGTACCTGCCGGTAATTCAGATACTTCTCCCAATACAAGAAAACACCCACTACGAGCAAAACGAGCACGCCAATGGTAGATGTGAGCTTATACAGACTACATGCCGCTTCGTACCTCAGATAGCTGTGGCTCACTCTGTTCAAGCGGCCTGCATGCGCCTTTTTCCGCGAAGTGCACCGCAGCAAGCTGTTCACGGAGTAGTTTAACCGTCTCCCTTTCACGACGCAGTTGATTCTCCACTTCCTTCGTTTCCTCCAACTCTTTTTGCATGCGGGCTACCTCTTGTTCAAGTTGCTCAACACGTTTCTGTGTCTCACAAGCCGCCTGATAAAAATGTGAGAACTCTTCCACGAGGGACTCCAATTCCTGCATTTCTGGAGTTATGCGGACACAAATAGGTGCTGCCTCCGACGCCGATGACGGAGCAGCATCCGCATTGCTCCTGGGAGTATCTCCTGGGGAGAAGTTGCCTTCAGCACCTCTCAACACACTTGAATAGATTTTTTTTATCCCTGCTTGGCTCTCGGGTCCGTTTACATTGTTTCCCTCCCCTCGTACCTCCTCGCTCTCCGCAGCTTCTTCCACGCATGGCTTGTGTGAAGTTTCAAGCTTAAGCTCTTCGACCTCGTACACCTCCTTCCCCGTACGGTCCGCTTCATCCTTTGCTGACGTTTGCCTCGTGTCAGCAGCCCCCGCCTCCTCCTCTTTCTCATCGCCCTCATCAGGGAAAATTGGGCTTTCATCCTTGAAAGCCTCCGCCAATCGCCCGTCGCGTATTGCCTTGGGATCCGTTCTGGCCGCAGGGGAAATCTCACCCACCACGTGGGTCCCAACCCCCGTGAGAGTGAAGATCTTCGGCGCCTGCGTCGCATCCGGTTGCCGCTGTGGCGTGCATCCCAGCACCACGTGCCGCTCATTTTCCGTGTCGACAATCACAATGTTGTACGGTGGCTCCTCCGACCCCGCTTTTTTGCTGGACAACCTTCCTCTGCATGCGTCTCGAAGCTCTTCATCAAGAAATGGTTTGTCCTCCTTGTCAAGTGGTATGTGAAGAGATCGCCGCAACGACGGAACCGCAAAGTCTTTCCCTCTGTGTGCGTCATCAGGATAGTCCAGTGAATCTCTTCTCCGTCGCTCCTTCAACTTGATACGTGGATCATCCCATGTTGACCGTCTACTTGTTTTTTCGACATAATACCTCCTTCCGTCTTGTGTGAACCTCTCCTCCCACTCAGGTGGTAATGGCTGATGGGAACGCTGTCGCGTAACATCAGTGAGTTGAGGCACCGTCATCATGCGACATCCCGTCACGGCAAAATTGAGGTCCCTAGCGAGTCGTTGAAGAGCCGTAATGGAATTGTAACCGCAGACAAGCACTGAGGTGAGAAGGTTGCCAAAGCAAAGCGAGGGAACCAACATGGTCGCGGTGTTGTGGTCAAGCATTCCTGGCAGCGTCATGTTTTGCCTGGTTGACCAGTCGGGTTTTTCCCCATCGGGTACCGCCTGACTGCGTGCCGGTGTAGAAGAAGACAACCAATTCTGCACAGCGGCATCCTCGGCAAGGCAGAGAAAGTGAAAGGTTGCCGAGTGACAATCATCAGTAAAGAGCGTTAGGGAAAAAAGAAGCGAAGTTCCTGCGCTAGAATGCAATAGCCCCATTTCCGTGGCACAGGTGAAGTTGCCAAGACCTATATCGAGTGCCTCCAGGGCATGATTGGCGTGCTCAGCCGGCATTGCTCGGGCATGACACACGTAGGCTTCAGCTGGTACATCGCCGTTCAAGTCGGGATGTGTCTTTTTACTCTCATCATGATGGCGCGTCGACGGAGGGCCTTCCAGGTGCAAGGCAAGTTCCACGCAGTCGTTGCTCAAATCAAGAAGATCCACGATGCACGCCGCATCAAAAGCGATGAATGTTGACTCGGCACGGACAAAACGATGAGTCCCGGAAATGCTGGTATCGCTATTGGCAGGATTCGTTTCATTGCTGCCTTGCACCGATCCTGGAACTCTTGAAGACGCCAAAGGGCATGACATGGCATTAAGTTCTTGCTCTTGAAGCTCGACGGTGCGGTTCATGACCATAAAAATCCCCTGTGGTAGTAATCCACACTTCTCAGGGGTTCCTATTACACCTAATTGTCTCATCTCTTGAGTTGCACCGTAGACAAGCACCATGGCATTCAAGCATTCATCTACTACGGCTGAAACTGCCGGAGACAACACGGTCGTCAGAAGAGGGTCTAAAGAAGTCAGTAGTTCGTAACGCATTTGGGCACTACAATCCCCCTTTGTGACACTCCCAACATTTTCAGAGGACCCCGGCGGCATGGGCAATTGTAATGCGAACAGAACATCCGTTGTGCGCTCTAACAGTCTCTCGTTAGCGTTGCAGTGACGCAAGACATCTAACAAATGCGGAAGACTTTCTTTTACTTCGGTGTCGTTCATGTGCTTCTTGAGACAGTCCTCACAAAGCTGCAGTGGGGCGCCAAAAACCTGTGTCATGGCATCCAGCTTTTGCTGCCTGCTTGCAGGATCCGTGGGTTCCGGTTCTTCACCTGTGTCTTTGTGGTCGCAGCCACCCTGGCCGCGCGACAGCGCCCACGGCTCGCCGCAGAACGACTGCAAGGCCACGCTAACAGACCAACGACGGTAGGGCAACGCATCTGCATCACCCCCCATAGGCATAACTTTGCCGCAACGGACTGCCACGCGGGAGCTGCGGATCCCGTTCCGAGGTTTCAGAATTAGACAGCAGCCGTGAATCAGAGTGCTCTACAGGGCTACCTGCCTAGGCGATTCCCTATAAAAATATTACTTCAATCCCTTTGTTACTTTTCCCTAAATGTTGTCGGTACGCTTTACCCGTGTTACCTTTGTTGTTGTTGTTAGCACCGCTCTCCTCTTGCTTCCACTCGCAAAACTCATCACCGCCGGCGGCGCGTGGTGGTGCAGCGAAGCACGGCAACAGCAGAGGAAAAGAGGAGGCGTACAACTGGCTGCCTGGGCGGCAGCGCAATGCACAGCGAGGAACCACGGTGCAGGAAGGGAAGCGCGGCCAACGTCGTGCAAAGAGTGGGAGGTGACGATGTCGCTGATGTGCCTCCAAGCGGAGCCGAGGAACCAGAGAAAGAACAGCAATAATAATAATAACAAGTAACAAAAAAAATAACTATTTTGAAATGGCACCGCAAATACAAAAGACAGAGGCCGCAACACTCACAGACGCGCGCCCAAGAAGGAGGGAGAGGGCTCGACAAAAAAAAAAAAAAGAGCAGCACTGCATTGAAAAGTCTGGAGCTCCCTTTCTCCCATTTTGCAGCACAACATCGGTGGCCCGACGGCCTCCAGTGGCAATACGCATCCACCAGAGTTTCGTTGTCCGTCCTGCGCACAGGGTGCGCTCCAGCCTGAGCTTGACAGGCCCATGCTTTTTCTGGGCAGCTGTCAGTTAGAAGCAAAAGAGGGCACGCATCACATCCTCACATTACGCGGAGCACGCCCCCCGATTCCACTTTTTTTGGGAGTATTCAAGCAAAGTTGGCGGTATTGCCGCGCTGCGTTTAATAGGGAGGCGCCAACCAAAACATCAACGGCTAGTCACAGAAGAGAAATGAAGGCTTGGTCACATCTCAGCTGTCACTGATGCCAAAAACAACGAAGACGCAGCCGCCGCCCTCGTCGCTTCACTCTCCCCTTCCTTCATGAGGCAGATCTTACGCGAGTGCAGGTACACACCTCCCCGCGGCGCTGATGTTGCTTCTGAAGATGGCGTGCCACAAACCAAGGCACAGCTTCGCAGTGTGCAGAGAATGTCATGAGGTAACCGCCGTCCTTTTCCCCACGCAAAGCGGGACAAGACAAAATAGGCTTCTCAAAGGCAACACAAATAAGAAAAAAGGGAGTTGAAGTTTTTCACGCTGCGCCACCCTCCTGACTTTGTCCCGTGCGCGCCGCACACTTCTCAGGTTTCATGCCCGCCGCCCCCAAGCGGGCCGCACAGGGGGCGTTGCCGAAGGAAAACAAACACAACGCAAGAAGACCTCCACACGCCATTTCTCTGTCGTCGAGGCGGTGCGAGTCCCAGCCCGGCCCACCGTGTTTGGTACGACCCTCACGGAGGCGCCATCGTTGATGCCGACTGCCGCCAAGCGCAAGAAAAAAAAAAAAGTGGGGGGCAAAAGAGGGGAAAAAGTGAGGAAACGCAGTCGGAAGTTGGAGTGCAACACCACCATTAACTGATGCACGCCCACAAAGCGAGGGAAAAATATGTCAAAACAAAGGAAACAACGGGGGGAAGAAAAAATAAGAAAATAAAAGAGGAAGCGAGAGAGGGAGATGAGGGTAACTGCAGAATTCAAGGCAAGAGTAAACCGTTGCGAGATAAATACGCAATGTTCGTCGCTAATGCAGCATCAGAATCACGGACCAAAAGCGTGTGGCCTCCTTCGGAAGTCGCGGCTATTTCACAATGCCTCACCCGCCGAATCAGCCACACGTGCCTCCTTCCGCCCAATCTGTGCTTTTTTAAATTTATCTATGTGTGTGTGTATTTTTTTTGCTTTTTTTTACCCTTTTGCTTTTGGCTCCTCAATTCCATGTGCTCCCTTGCATATGCACGGTGAGGGGAGATTTGCTAAACAATGGGGCCCAAGAGGCTTCCTCTCTCCTCCCTCACGAACTTGTGCAGAGCCTTGTAGGTTGGCATGCTTGCCACGACCGCAGGCGGCTGCTCGTCCATCACAAGCCACTTGAACAAATCGCTATCAAAGTGTCGGAGGATCGTGTCGTACTCATCCAGCTGCTCGCGTGGCATCTTATCGAGAGTCTTGCGGGAGAACACGCCCAGAATGACGTCCATCTCCACCATACCGCGGTAGGCGGACTGATAGATGAGGCGGCGACGCTTTGCCTCATCGGTCTCACCCAGCGGAGCCGACCGTGTATCGCGGAACTGCAGACCACTCTCGGCTTTGGCTTTGTCCACCACACGCGGATCTTCCTTCCACATCTTTACCAATTCCTCGTGGTTCTTTGCGCGTGGCGCAAGTCGTCGAGAGAACCGCCGCAGCATTCCTTCGGATCCCAGCAATAAATAAGTGTCAAACTGTCTTTCACACCCTACAGCTCGCTTGTTATCTTCCCGCCTTTGCAACCGTCACCAGTGGAAGAAGGAGGAGAAGGTGCAGAACGCAGAGGACGGCAGGCATAAGAGGCGGCGACGCGACGTTATCCCGAGCAGAACAAAACAAAATAAATAAATAAAAAAGAACCGGGAGACACTAATGATAAGAGGAGAAGCCACGAAGGTTCGTAATGAAAAATAAAGCATGTGAACGACGTGCAAGATTCACTTCACCCAACGTGAAACCGGCAGCAGCAGCAGAGCTCTTGGACTCGCATCACCAAAGACCTTTGCGGGCTGTCTGTTGCATCTTCCTCAAAGAGCCCTTCCTTCGCCGCTCTGTCTTGTGCGCCGTTACGATCGTCGTGGGGCGTTTGATGGGACCCGCCTCCAGAGGAGGCACCCACGAGGCCTTTTGAATCATTTCTCGGAGACGTCGCAAGCAGGCCTCTTTGTTCTGATGTGCACTGCGATGCTCATGGCTTGAAATAATCAGTATCGCTTCGTCCGCGGTAAGCGCCTTGCCCTGCTCATTTTCCTTCAGTCTACGAATCAGCTCTTCGTCAAAGTGTTCACTGAGAGCCGCGATGCTGGCACGCAATTCCACCTTGTTGCTGCTGCTGTTCGCCCCTTGGCCCCCCGGTCCACCGCCACGCACCATACGCAAAGTGTAGCAACTCTCGTCTATCTGGATATCCCGCAGTTGTGCGAGGCGGTAGTATCCCTCCTCCTTGAAGGAGCTAATGTGCGAGCGACAACACTGCAGGCGGAGCACCGCAGGTACCGCACAACTCACAGATTCCACGGTTAAGATCGGAGTCGGCCTGCTGAACCAGCGACGAACAGTCGCGGCAGCATAGCTCGGCCTTTGGTAAATGGGGAATCGATGGGGAGATGAGGAACTCAAGGACATTTTATCCTCATCCCTGAGCGGGCGAATAAATGACGAGGTAAACTCGTCAGAGGCGGCAGTTGCAGCAGAGTGCAGAGAGACTACGGTGGGGCAGCAGCTGCGTGCCGCACTTGCACGTATGCAACGCGACAATTCACCCCTCATCTGCGCCTTCTCTCCCTCTGTGTGGAAGCGTGTTGCCGGTTCTCCAGTACTTCCTTCAGCCGCCGTCGATGCGTCTCTTCGCTGTCGCCGCCAGAGGCGCTCCCGTTTTGTTTGTTGTTGTTGTTTGTTTGCTTCCTCGCAAACCGAAGAAAGGGAAAAAGGAGAGCCAGAACAACACCAGGCAACACGCGTACATAGTCGGGGCTCAGATCTTCAGTTAAACGGAGGGCCGTTCAACGACGGCCGCGGACGGAAAAGATCGGGACGGATGTGTGGTTGCAGTGCGCTAACAACACCGCCCAAATGCCCCTCCTCCGCCAACCACGCAGGAGAGGATACGCGAAAGGGAGATGCCATGCGGCCACCCTGCCACGGCGCCGCACCCTCCACCAGAATTCAGTACCGAGACGCAAATTAACTTCACCGCTTGTGCCCCCATGGCTCGGCGCAGTGGAATGGATGGCGCCCAGCACACAAGTGAGGCACACCTTTCCTTATTCAAGTCCTTCTTGTGTGCCAGTCACCAACCGGATTAGCGGCACATTTCGGCATTTTTACTTGTATTTTTTTTCTTTTATCTCTTGTTGTATGCTTCTGGGTACGCCCACCGCGTCTGTAATGCACACCACGCACCGTACCAATGATTACGCTGTGACCATTGCTATGAGCAACCTACAGTTACATTGCTGTGTGTGCGTGTGCGCGCATGTGGACATTGGCAGCAATACAAAAATAAAAGGAGAAACAATAAGAAGCCACTGTGCTGTCAAGGAAACGAAGAGTGATGAAAGCAGCCCCAATCTCCTTCAGTGCGAGGGCGCTGACGCCGTTTTCTTGTGTTTCGTTTTTCCAGTGGAGCAAAGAAGAACAAACAGAAAAATTAAGAACAGGACAGGTAAAAAAAAAAGAAGAAGAGAGAAGAAACAAGAACTACAAAAGAAAGTAAATAAAAGTAAATGATCAGAAAAGAAAGAGAAAGGAAAGGGATGGAGAAAAACGAGGAGGCTGCATATATTACTATACGCACGCGCTACCCACCACACCACAGCTCAAGCTTCCCGCGCCACTCCCACGTGAATCACTCGTCATTTTGTTCCCTTTTTCGTCTGCCGCCCACTCGCCCGTTCTAAAACCCTACAGCTGTGTGTGTGTTTTTCTTTGCGTGTATGCGGCTCTCCTTCTCCCTCCCCTCCCCCTCCTTCTGTACTAATGGCGCCACCACTTGCCCAGCGACTCCACTATGCTATCACGCCAATTGCTTGTATGTCCTTTTCGCGTTGGGGCAGTCCCACACCCAGTGCCGCACGGTGCCGAGTTCGGTTTCAAGCTCCCCAATCGCCTTCGCAGCAAACTCCGCCGGCACCTTCGTCTTGAAGGACTCCACGATCTCCACGCACCCCATGAGGTACCGCTCGCGCTCCAACGCGTTCCAGACCTCACGCTGCACCACAAATCTGGCCTTCATTATAGCCGTGTAGCGCCGCTCCGTCATCGCCGCCCAGTGCAGCACAGCCTTGAGGTAATTCAGCTTTTTCTCGATGTATTTTCGTCCCGCCTCGTTGCTTGAGCAGTCACCCAGGAAAAACCTGTAAATCGGGAACTGCCGCTGGTACAAAGCCTTGTAGAGAAGATCGTGCGAGTTCACGCGGTCGGTCCAGAATGAGTCAAAATCATACGTCCAGGATATGTTCAGCAGGCGCTTGGTGTCGTCCTCCACGCAGCTGAGCAGGTACAGCTCCACCGCGGACAGTTTAAGCCCCGGAGGAGCCTCCACCTCCGGGACGTGGCTGAACTCAAAGCTACGATACTTCGACAAGTTGGTGATGCGCTTCAGCCAAGACTCCTTCGTCGCCCAGTCCTCCAGCGGGATAGACCCCCACACCGTGAAAATGCCCCGGGTTGGCGCAGCAAGGACCGATGCAGCGGGGGCGGCCATCATCAAACCCTTCAAAAATTGACGGCGCATTTCTGTGTGTTAGGTTTTCTACTTTTTTCCTAACAGCGTCTTTTTTGTTGTTGTTTTTGTTTTCTACTCCTGGGTTTTGCTTCGTGTAATGGCTAACTTTTAGTGTATGTTCTGTGTGCCTCGGTTTTGTTCGCGGGCAGACGACGGGTTGCTGGAAAGCGACAAAAGCAAAAACGAAAACAACAACAACAAACATAAACACCACAGGGGAAACAAAAAGAGTAAACGGGGGTGTAAAAGTAGCCCAAACGCATTCGTGCATGCGCTGCACCGTCATGGTAGCCTGTCGAAGCGCGCAGAAACGAGAAGAGGAACATGGTATGTTTCTCAACGGAGCAAAATATCTCGCCTCCCCGCATCAAGAATAAATGTGGTGGCCGGTGTATCCATAATAACCGTGAGAAGAATGCACGGCAAGAGAATTCAGTAGGGTCTGTGATACGAGTACAGTTTTCCCATATTATACGGCGCATTTCTTTCTCTCTCGAGGTGCCGCAGGGCCTCGCCCCGACCCATCAGAGAGCCGTCTAGTCCCCTTACAGCTGGAAAATGCTTCGGTAGCTCCCTTCGCGTGAGGGTCGCAGGCCCGTCGAATTCCACGCGCTCGTCATTGACGTGGGACGTAGGGCCCATCCGCGGCTCCGGCACTGCGCGGACGCCCTCTGGCACAGAGCGGCCATGAAACGGGCGAAATGGCATGTAGTCCGAGGGCGGCGGCTGCGGGCCGCCAGGCAACTCCGTCTGCACTCGCACGTAACGCAGCAGACTGGGCCCATACTGCCGACGCACCTTTTCAGAAAATCGCTCCGCGGCGTCTACCATCACACGCCGCAGCGACTCCTCGTGAGAAGACGGGGATGTCGTCGCTCCATGCGGATTTTGTTTTTCCTGCCGCTGCCGCAAGCGCTCCTGAAATATGACCTGATCAATAGACATGCCATGAAACGCCTCACGAAACTTGCGATCGGCATCGCCCCGCACGAACGGCTTTCGGCGACGCGTCGAAGAAACTTTAGAGGAAGCCGACGATGGTGCAGCGGGCGTATCCCGCACCGGTGACGCAGTTCTGCGTGCGGCCACGCGATGGAGCCCAAGAGCCTCGTCATGCTCCGCACGCCTCTGCGGGTCCATCAGGACGTCGTAGGCCTCGGAAACGGCACGAAACTCCACTTCCGCCCGTGCCTTTTGCTCGTCGTTCACGACGTCCGGGTGGCACTCGAGTGCGCGGCGCCGGTACGCGGCCTTCATCTCCTCCGTCGTCGCCGCACAGTCGACGCCGAGGCGCTTGTAGCAATTTGCAACCGGCACGCCCGAGTTCCCCACAAACCGCACAGCCATGTGCAACGTGCCACGCGGAGTCAAACACCACCACCGCTGCGGCAGTGACGGTCGCGTGCACCGCAGCGCGCCGCGAAGACCCCCGCCGCCGCAACTCCCGCAACGCATCCAAAGCAGCGGTGATCTCCCCGTCAGTCTCCACGAACTCGTGCCTGCGCAGAACAGTCTCCAGCCGGTACGTCGACCCCGCCAAACACACACACACAAACACACACACGCACACAGACTTCCCTTCAACTGCGCGTGCGGTCCTCCTTGAATACGAAACGCGAAATAAGAACGGTAAAAACCACCAAAGGGAAGAAGAAAAAAAAAAGAGAGCGAGACAGAAACGAAACACTGGGCGAAAGAACCTGGCACGGTGTAGAAGTTCATGATGTCGCTGCAGCTCCACATGCATGGAGACACCCATATAAAGCTAGGTCCATCTCGCCCCTCTCCACCCCGCCCCACCCAACACGTCGGCTTTTCAGTGGCGTGCGAGGAACCCGGTGCAACACCACCCTTCCCCACATCGCCCGAGTGGACGGGTATTAATGTGAATGGGAGTGCGCCTTCGCTTCTCCTCTACGCGTTCTTCTTCGCTCTTCGAGGGCACGCCAGTGGGAATCCACAGACCACCCCCGCAACGCCGCCAGCGTCTCAGCAAGACCCTTTTGACTCACACGTTTAAAGTTCATTGACTGTAACTTTTCTGAAAGATGTGGAGACATCAGTGACCGCGCGGCAAAGCGACGTTGATTACTGCTTGCCTCCACTGCGGAAGGGTTTTTCCTTCCTCTTACTCTTGAGGCGTCCACAAATACGTGCACGGATTGGCATCGTCTGTGATGTGGCAAGCAATCCTTGCTATGTGCACGCGGATCCCAGTTAAAATACTGCCATCGCATAAGGGCCCCCACCGTCGCCGTGGGACTCTTCCACACACCGACTTCATCTGGGTCCATTTCCTCCCGCAGCAATTTTCGGGGAGGGCTTGTTGATGACGCCTCCGCCGCAGACTCCTGCACCTCCGCACCCCCGGCGGGCAGAAGCTCCTCTAGGCGAAGGCACAGACCCAGAGCCTGGGGACAAGCCTGTTGCAGGTCCTGCAGCAACTGCTGTACCCCACGCTGGGAGACGCCACAGGAGGAAATCGTGGCAAGAGACATGGGCGGGTTCATTGAGGCGCGGTCAATCCCTTTTTTCGAGTCCTGTGAGAAAATTCGGGACACCTGCTTCTGTGCCGTGCAAAACGGCGATGTGGAAGACGCGAGTGCAACACCCGCCCTCGTGTATGGCAGTGCATCCGTGGAAAAAGAAGCACCAAATAGGGGAATGTGCCTCTTTTCGTGCCTCTGACGCAACAACGCCGGAGACGGCGGGCTTATTTTTGCGCCCCGTGTGAGGTCCTTAAAGAGAGACGCCGCAGCAGCGTGCAGTGAATCGTGACTGGCATCACGGCATAGAACAGACGCAGACGTTGTTGCGCAGTAAGTTTTGATACTACTGCCGCTCGTGCTGCTGCTATGACCCAACGCCCAAGACTCCTTTTGGATGACCCCTCCCAAATGCTGAAGCAATTCGTCCCACGCGTGCGGCACTTCCTCCGCCACGGCCGTCGTCGTCGTCGTCGTCGTGTTCGTCGTGGCACGCGGTACGCGAGGCATCAGCAGCACCACATGCACATCCAGAGACGCGTTTCGCATCACCCCCTTCAAGTCCGGGTGTTCATTCATGTGATGTCGATAAGGATTCGTGATGTTGGGATGACCGTGAATGGAAACCTCGTACTGCTCTCGCGACATGGTAGAGAGAGCGTGCTGACGCGGAATGCGCAGACCAAACAGTCCACCGCCTAGCTTGACGCCAAGACCACCCTTCATATGATTCCACGCGTGCCGACGACCGTCACGCAAGCCAAAACTATTCGAGAGGCGCTTGTACCGTCCCTGGCTGCCGTGTGTATGGCGGGTATGGATTGCCCCGCCGCGTTTGGTACGCCCACGCAAGAAGTCACGAGGACCCCATCGCCCCAGAAAACAACAGCCCACACGAAGCATGAAATAGCAAGAGACACCTCTCTCCTTCCAAGGGACAAAAAGGAACTAACAAATACAATCAACTAACTTATGCCGCCTTTTTCTGCCCCCCCCACCTTTTTTTCAGTGTTCGTTCCACGACCGTGGGTGAGAAGCAGGGCTAACACCACACTTCAAAAAAAAATACCCTCCCCTCTCCTCTCCCTGGCCCACAAAAAAGAAAAAACATGCCATGGCAGTGAAGGTGTGAGGGATGCAAAAGCATCTTGGCCCACGCAAGCACTAGACGCCTGTGGGCACACAGCGGAACCCACGGGTGGGATTTGGTCACGTTGCAGTTCACCGTTCCCTCTGGAGCAATCCTTTTCACACCGCTCCTTCGTTTTCTGTTGTTGTTGCTTCTCTTCGCTTCTTTTTCCTCCTCTTACTTATTTTACCTCGAGAGGCAAGTTATAGCACTTACATCGCAATGGAACTCTCGTCAGCCGCACAAAACAATAACAAAAGGGGGGAAAAAAAGCGGAAAAAGCACGGCCACTCACACGGCGCACCATCATTTCCCGCTCGCCCCCGCCACGAACCCCATCATTCTTTATCATTACGGGTCTGGCGGCCCACACAACCTTCCGACGCCTCAGGCATGCGGGACGGAAGGGGAGGGGAGAGGGCACCATTTGCGCCCCTGCCGCCAAGCAGGAGGAAGAGAGGGCCGCAAGCTTGGCGTACCATAGACCGCCTGTGTGGACACCTCTGCGCACTGCGAAAGCAAAAAAAAGAAAAGAAAGCTGCGGGAAAGAGCATAATAATCAACGACACACAACGAAAAAAAAAAAAAACTGATGCAGCGACAGTTTTGGTTCATTTTTTTTTGTTTTCAACTCTTCGCTTGATAAGTCCAACGACATTACAAAAAAAGTAAGAAGTCAAAATTATTGCTTCTCCTTCGCTTCTTTTACCCATGCTGCAATGCGGGCCTGCAGCTTCTGTCGCGCCTCTGTGACATCCTCTCGTGCGTTAAACTCCTTCACCATGTTCTCATCCAGGTATTCCTTCGTAAAGGGATGCTTGCTCTCAGAGAGGAGAACATGGTGAATTGTATCCTCATTCACATACACCAGGTCGTTCAAGTCCTTCACATCGGCTGGGAGCGCCACTGGGCGGAACAGCGGCGTCAAGAGCAACGCATCCATAGCAAAGTCCGGTGCCTCATCCCACAGCGCCTCATCCTCGTGGACTTCCTGCGATATAGCCTCAAGCGTCGCGGCAATTTCCCTCAGCTTCCAGATGAGGTGCTCGCCCACCAGGCCACGCTCTGTCACCGTGTCAATCGACTGAAGAATATCTTTCAGTGGGACGCCGCAGTTACAAAGAGACCGCATAAAGTTTTGGAAGCGTCGAAATTGCACCAGACAATCTACCAGCCGGGTGAGAATTTCGCGAGGACGAAAGTTGTAGCGTTCGGGGTACTCAATCTTCAAGTTTTTGCTTTCGGCACCTGCAAAACTAACAAGACTGCGAGCCAGCATCTGACTAATCTGCTGTGCCACCATATTCTGTGCCACACCCTTTGAGAAACGGATGGCCAGCTGAATGAATAAGTTCATGCTTGCTTCAAAAAGTAGTATTCTTTGCTGCAGCCCCAAGCCCAGTTGATGGTACGTCAGCGGCGCCTCATCCCCATTCTCACTGTCGCCGCCCTCCTCCTCATCCTCCTCATTTGCAACTGTGTTTCGAGTACTGCTATTACGAGTGCGGTTTCCCTCTCTTCTGCCTTGCACTGTCAGTGCATTGTCACTGTCACCATTCTCACCGCTAGTGCTGCGAGGCACACGGGCATTCTCGCTCAAATCCGCCCCCTGCTTCACGAGTTGATTCATCTGCGTGAGGGTTTCAACGAGTTGATCAACGGCCTCATTCACGTCAGCCGTCACCATGTGTGAGAAGCGTTCCAGGATGGTGCCATCGGCCTCGAATTCCTCACGAACCGGCTGGCATAACGATTCAAACGTGAGAAAGGACTTTATACAGTAGGAAAGCATATACCGTACGGAGACCTTTTCGTAGGTCGATTTCTCCACGGCAATGTAGCACAGGACACAACTACGCACAATATGCTGCGTAAACCACGGATGCGAAGTCAGAGCCCGTTTCGTCTCCTTGTTTTGCAAGAGCCGGGTGAGAAAGGTTGGAAAGAGTGCGTGGGTGTGTGGCTTGGGGAAATACGTTGTGTTACCCATCAGGATCAGCATCAAGGAAATAATGTGCTCAAGGTCAAAGTATTCCAGTGGTGCCATCTCTACGCCCAGAATAACCACGTCCACCAGCTGCTGGGGCAGGTACTTCCATTCCTCCGGTGGCTCCTTTGAAAGCACGCCGTCGGACGAGGGGTTCATGATCTTCACAAGCCAGGCGGCGATGCCGTTGAGGGCCTGCACACGTTTTCGCCCGAGGGTCTCGGAGCCAAGCAACCCCTCAATGAGTGACTTCTCCGCCACGTACGCCGCGCGTTGCTGCGGTGACACCTGCGGATGCGTCACATCGCGCTCCACCCGCTGATGAATCCCAATCATCACCGCCGCGCTCAACATGATCGAACGCGCAACAAGGAAGAAGAGATGCACCGAAGGTTTGAACGGACCACTCATTGCAGGAAATACAGGGAGGGGGTGGGTCTCATCGTAGTGAACGATGCGCTCCACGTCGTCGCCGAAATCCACCACCGTGTTGTCCGCGTTGTCCTCCAGGACGTAGTAAGGGGGAATAGTGCACGGATCGTAGGCTGTTCCAAACAGCGGAAGTGCGGCTTCCAAGAGCACATCATTCATCTGAGACATAAAATATCGTGAGGACAAAGGCAAATTGTGATGCACCGTCTTGGTATAGCCGGCGTTAAGCCGTAGTGCGGTGCCAAAAAAGCGAAGCGTTGGCTCACGAGAGATCTTCGATCGCAGAAGCGCTAGAATAATGCGCTTGTTACCTGCACAGGATGCCTGCATACAAAACTGTAATTCGGATATCTTGCTAGAATGATCGTCAGTCTCTCTCGGGAACATCCCCATCAGATGAACCCACTCCGCGGACATCAAATGCGGAGGAACAAGGCGGTTGCTGCGACTCTGGGCGGAGACGCCCAAGAGCGCACCTAACACCGTGCCATATTCCAGTTGCAAGCCTGTGGACAACGCGTCGTTGCAAAACAAATGCGAACGCACGAAAAGTTCCAGGGTGGAGGTGCAGGAGACAAGAGCGTAGAGCGCCTGTCGCAACGTATTCAAACCTGCCGTGTTCTCCAAGGTGGCAGAGAGCAGGAACTCAGTGAGGGTGCTTAAAATCCCATTGACAATATACACGCAATCGCTGCCACGCGGCTCAGGCTTTGTGGAAATGTACGCAAAAAGAGCATCAACTGCTGCCGAATTAAATCCACTTGATGCAAAATAAGGCAGCATGACAACACCAAGCGGCTGTCTCTCACTGTCTCGCTCAAGTGTGGCGCAAACAGCTTCACATGTCTCCCGCATCGCCGGAGTGACGCCTTGCGCGGAGTCAATAGCCTGTGCCAAGGCTTGCATCTGGCTTGCCAAAACCTGATGTATATTACCCAATGCGCCGCCACCGTGCGATGTCGCTGATGCCGCTGATGCACGTTGCATCGCAATTGCCTGATCAATATGCCTTTGCAACTCCCCAAACTGGGCGCCAGAACCCGCCGTGTGCCACTCACCAGCAAACCAAACCATAAACCTGGGGACGCTGCGCACATCGAACCTCTCAACGCAGTCGCGGTTGCGGTCAATGTTACACCTGCAGAACTTCACAAAGGTTTTGTACCGTTCGCTCAGCGCCGCGTAGTGCGGTTTAACCTCCTGGCACGGCCCACACCAGTCTGCGTAGAAGGCGACCACAACAATGGGATTGTCCCTGGTGAGGGAGAGTAAATGTGCCAGTCCATTGATCTCCAGCATGGGTGCTTAAGTGAAGTGCCTTTTTGTCAAAAACAAAAACTATAGGACCTTCTTTTCAAATCGTCTTCTGTCACTATAACCCACACAAACCAGAACGACGACGAAAACGGCAAAACTCGAGAGGAGGGCACCCCCAGATTTTGTCATAGAAAAGGAAGAATAATAAACGAAGAAGAAACATAAGGAATTGGGCAGCTAAAAGGACACCCACACGCACAGAGGATGGGATATATATATATATATATAAGTAGAAAAGGGCGAGGGGTG